CCCCTTTGGTCATTTATGCTTTGGGGCAGGATGCCTCAGGGCACTTAATTCAGGGAACTGGGTTTGCTGACCCTCAAAGCTTGAGCTAAATGCTTTCAGGTTGAGGCTTACACTGGCGTGGGATTCCCCTTTGGTCATTTATTAACAGACCTGAAAGAACTTTGTAACACTTCCTGATGAACAACTCTATCCTGAGCGCATTTTTCACTGGCATTACAACCTGTTACCTTCCTTCCTAAACCCTTTAATCATGAACGTTGTCTTGAGTTCTGTGTAGCCATTGCAATGGATATTAGAACTGAGAAAGGTGAAATAGTGAAAACAAGACAACCTTCATGTGGTTTGACTGCTCCACATACCTGCCCCATCTCTGCTTGCTTGTCTCATTGTGTGCTCAATCTGCTCCCCCACCACCATATTTCAAAAGAGCTTGACTTAAAACGTATCCTCCATGAATACTGCCTTATTAACGTGATAAAGAAAACCCATTCCCAAATGGGATTAAGCCACAGTGTTGGAATTTGCAATATGTAGTTTGGGGAACACAACTCAATCCCTAACACGTAATTTTCATGTCACAAAATCTTAGACTTCTTTTTATTCTTTTTTTAAGTTAGACTTTGCCTTTTCTTACTGTGTTGTTGTTGTTAGAGGTGGTTATAACCCCATGTGTAACAGAATGAAACCCTGTCTGATCCTGTGCTATCCTGATAATGATTGCTAGGTTTGAACTCCGTTCCTGTAGTCCTTATAATTTCCTCCAGGACGAATGTACGGTTTCCCAATCATTTCCCTTTCTTTAGTTTTCCATTCCTCCAATTCATCCTTCAGAAATGGTATCCCAGCACTTGCCCAAGGGAACAGTTCTGAAACTTTAGAAAGAAGTGCAAACTGCTGGTATGCCCTTTGCCAGTCTTCCTTGTTGTTACGTTTCTGTCTTAGCTGGAGCTGATTCTGACTCATAGCGAACTTGTGTCCAACAGAATGAACCACTGCCAGGTCCTGGGCCTCCTGACCATTGTTCTTCTGACTGAGGCCATTCTGCAGCCCCTGTACCAATCCATCTTGTCCAGGGGGCTTTTTCCTTAGGAAACAAAAGAGGGAAGCACTTTCCCCTGCGTGGTCAGACCAACAATGGTAACCTTCCTGTGAGTAGTCCCCATCACCTGGGCCTTCTAAAGTTTTGCCCAGTGGTTTGCTGAATGATGCAGTGAAGAAAACGGGGCTTTGAAGATGGAAACTTAAGTGAGAACTCCACTTCTGGTTAATTCTAGCAAGGCTTTGATGACCTTGAGTTTTACTGTGCATAGTAGTTAGGTGTATGTCAACTCGGCTGGACCAAGTTGACAGTGGTTTCGTAGTTAAGCATTATTAATGGGACTGACGATAACTATACAGCATGGGGGTGAAGATCAAAGGAACTGGTGGACATCCTTAGCAATTAGTAAAAGGCTACAGAAACGTCAGTGACTTTATAATAAATATTGAGGTTTGACGTTTTGAAAAAGCAACACTGATCTGATTTTACCTAACAGTTTGTGTGTTCTGACTTTTCAAGTCTATCTGCATGAGGTGAAAAACAGGCATAAGCCTGAAGTGTTCATAGGAAAGGGGGACTGACGGAAAGGGAACAACAAGGTCTTATTTATCTCTACCACTCCTTTGAATTGAATTACGCATTTTCTATTTTTAGGCCTAAGATTCTGCTTTTTTCCTGTTTTTTCGTTTGTTTGTTTGTTTGTTTTTAAACAAAATAGTTCCAGCATACCAAAGAGAGAGATGGAGATTTGAGGTTTTGATTGAGGTAGATTTTCTTCGAGGGAATGGCTCACACAATTATAGGGGCAGGCAAGTCCCCAATCCATTGGTCAGATGACAGAAGACCTCCGCTGGGTCCCTGGATTGTGGTGGTGAAGGGAGGGTCCTGCTAAATCCTAAATCCTTAGGCCAGACAGTAGTCTGCAGGCTTATAACCCAAGAACCCAGAGTTAGATGACAACATGAGTGCAGGGTCCAGAGACAGTGAGCGCTGCCAGAATGTCTATTTATATTCTGAAGACAGACCACACCCCCAAGGAAGCACCTTTTCAAAGAATTGCTGATTGCTTCAGATTACATCATGGAAGTTGATTAGAGTACATTGCTATAATACATTTCAGTATGGAAAAGCAACCTGTCCAGTACCTGCCAAGAGTGAGAAGCATAGGCTAGTGGACACACAAAATGAACCATCACAGTGGTACCCAAGATTTTGCATTTGTAATACATCGCTAGCTGATCCTGATGGCATTGGTCTGTAGACCATCCGTGAGTAGTAAGACTTACAGCATCAGAGGAGGATGGAGGTATGGTAGCAGGTATGGTCTAAATTAGGGAGGACCAGTCTTACTGACTCCATGGTGTCTGCCTGAAACCAGATGCTTTAAAAGTATAAGGCTTTGGAAATCGGAAGCTACTATTCTACCCCGTTCAAAAAAAATGTGTAAGGCTGTAAGTTTGGAGCCCTGCTGGTATAGTGGTTATGTGTTGAGCTGTGACTTGGAAGGTCAGGAGTTCAAAATCACCAATCCCTCCTTGGGAGAAAGACAGGGCTTTCTACTCCTGTAAAGAATTACAGTCTCAGAAACCCTCAGGGGGAAGTTCTACTCTGTTCTATAAGGTCACTATGAGTCGGTATCAACTAGAGGGTGCGAGTTTTTTTGAGTTTGTGAATAGTCAGTCTCTCATACTTTGTGCCTTCTAAAGTTTTGCCCAGTGGCTTGATGCAGAGAAGAAAATGTGGCTTTGAAAATGGAAACTTAACTTAGAACTTCACTTTAGATTAATTCTAACAAGGTTTTTAATTACCTTGAGCTAAAATTTACCATGCATAGTAGTTAGGTTTCCATGTCAACTTGGCCGGACCAATATTCTCAGTAGTTTGGTAGCTAAGACCTAGTAATGAGGTAATGAGAAAATAACAGTAACTATATAGCATGGCTGTGAAGTTCAAAGGAGTTGGTAGAATGCTGTAGCATTTGGTAAAAAGCTGCTTTATAATAAATGTTGAGGTTTGACATGTTTTGAAAAAGCAACAATGACAAGATTTTACATAACAGTTTGTGTTATCTGCATGAGTTGAAAGATCTGCATAGGTCTCAGGTGTTCATGGGAAAGGGGGATTGACTGAAAGGGCTCTTATTTATCTCTACCACATCTTTGAACTGAATTATGCATTTTCCATCTTTAGGTCTAAGATTTTGGTTTTTTCCTTGTTTTTCTAAAAAAAAAAGTTACAGAATCAAGTGGCATTGATTCTTGCGAGTTGATGACAATAATACATGAACAATTAGAAGGTAGTAATAAAGTTGTGTTTTTTTTTTGTAATAAAGTATTTTTAAGATACTTCGGGGACTTTTCAAAGGGGACTTTATGAGTGGATTCTCCTAGGAACAGTCGGAAAGACACACTATTTGATAATAGGAAGAAGAGGTGAAGGAACAATGTTTTCAAATGGGCAAGGAAGGAAAGAAAGAAAGGACGATTTAAATGTTCATAAAAAATGTTCCTTTCCCTCTATGAAGATCTGGGAGGATAGGTTTTCTAATGGTAAGTACACTTGTCATGAGCCCACATTACATTGTTAAGATAGAGTTATATCAATACTTTATTTCTTAGTTCTGGAAATTAGTGGGGTTGTACTTTCTTAAGAAATAAAAAAGGAGAAAGACACTGTTTATGACTGCTAAGCTTTTTTTTTTTTTTTGGCAAAGAGCAGTACAGATGTACCATCTCTTAAGGTTTAAGGTCTGCAAAAACACTTGGTAGATCTGTTTCAGAACACGTACAAATCTCTGTAAAAGTCACTCCAGATTACACTTCTTAGAAGACAGGCACTCTTTATATGCCCTCTATCGTAGCCTCAGTACAGTTAGTATGTAATAAACCACACTGTGGATGGTCGGTTGATTCCGACTCAAGGTCCCACATGGGGCAGAGCAGAACTGACCCAGAGGGCTTCCAAGGCTCTACATCATTGTGGAAGCCAACTGCCACTTCTTTCTTTTGCAGAGCAGTTCCTGGTGGATTTGAACCACTGACGTTTCAATTAGCAGCTGGATCACTTTAACAACAGTGTCACCAAAGCTCCTTTACCACACACCTGTTAGCAAACTGAGGCATCTTGGTGGCAACAGTGGGTTCCGTGTTGAGCTACTAACTGCAAGGTCAGCGGTTCAAATCCGTTGGAGAGAAAGCCGAGGCTGTGTGCTCCTGTAAAGATGTAGTCTCCTAACGCTCAAGAGCAGTTGTCTTCTGTCCTTTGAGTCCTACTGACTTGAGGGCAGTGGGTTTGGTTCGCATTTGGTGGCAAACTGCTGGCTTTTCCCGCGGGGCAAAGAGGTCAGTTTCATGTTGTCAACCTTCCTTAATTCTTCAGTAAATGGATGCTGAAAGCATGGATGCTATCCTTCGGGTAATCAGGATAATTCCTTAACCACCCGCTTTGCTGCTAGAGCGAGATTGCTGGTTCAAGTCCCCAAACTCCTGAGCACCCCAAGTACGCTAACAAGCCCTGCAGCTAGCACGGCGTTGCCTTTCTCTGAAACCTCCGTTTGCCTGGGCGCATTTTCTCTGCAGAGATGTTAGTGCATTTTGAGTGTTCTTCACATTTTTAATTATTAAAATCAAACCAAACCAAACAAACCAAAAAAACCAATCCAACAACAAAACCTCCCTCAACAGTCTGACAGGACTTTTTCTATCTTGGTTACAGATCTCCCCCGCCGCCGGCACAAGAGCACGCGGAGCTAGGAAGGAGAAACTGGCACTTCAATGGGGGGAAAGGAGCTCACTTGCGTGCACTTCGAAGGCCGTGGGGGGAGAAAGCGGGGAAACTAAGGGCCCCACGTGACCTGGCCCCGCCCCCGGAGCTGAACCGACTCCACCCTCCTCGGGGGGGCGGGGTAGCGGGGCAGCGGGTCGGCGCATGCGCAGTCAAGGTTAGTGATGGAGGAGAGAAGATGGCGGAAGCGGAGTGAGTGACTAGCTGGTGACTGATGTCGTAGCTGCGGGGCGAGGAGGGGTGTCCGTCCCGGGGAGCTCTCGGGACGCTTTCCCGAGCAGCGTGGGGGCACAGGGAAGCCCGAGAGCCTCCTGAGGGCGGGGGAGCCCGCGTGGCCCGTGTCGGGGGGCCGGCATCCTGCGTGGGCTCAGTTACCCACCGGGCGGGAGCGTCCCTTCCGCTGGCTGAAGCGCGGTCGCTGCGGCCCCGCGCGCCGGGTCCGAGCCGCGGGCCCTTGGGGCTC